CCATTCTCGAGTGGTGGTGGTGGTGGTGGTGGTGGTGGTGGTGGTGGTGGTGGTGGCAGCAGCAGCAGCAGCAGCAGCAGCAGCAGCAGCAGCAGCAGCAGTTGTCTAGACCGGCGGTAGGTCAACTAAGCGTCTAAGTTGTCATAAAAGTCCGTCGCCTGTTCATACACCCAAGACGGTTAATGTCCCATGAAGGGATGTCAGTGGTCATTTTCCTGCGCGAATTATCCTCACTGCCCTACTGGCTATTGCAACACGGCTAGCAGTGGGCGTAAAGGGGTGCGTCCACGCATTGCCATGTGCAGCCTCAAGAATGGTTGTCAGTTTAACTCTGACGAAAAACACGTGGTCAGACGGGCTGAAATCACAACAGTTCGCAAAACAAACGGGACCTAGAAGTACGACGGCATCTCAGTTGACCTACTGCCAGTTTTGGAGGTTGTTTGCCACCACGTAGATACGAATAAAGAACCAGAGTGACATGAAGATTCGCCCAGGCAGAGTAATGTAAGGCTTACCTCCTCTCGGGCGCTTTCCTTCTAATAATGCGTTTGCATACAAGCGCAAGTCCTCAGAAGAGTATAGCTTTCGCAGAAAATATAGTCTTTTTTGGCGAGATTTGGTCCTGCAGCCCTACTTGACTGATAACATATGGTTAGCCAACTAAAATAATTTCAGTTAACGTACCTAACTTAGTCGCTCGCTGGATTAGGAAGGGAAAGAGAGCGCAAGCAGAACTTGAAACAAGCGCAGGGAAGCGCGTGTGAATCGAAGGTGGCGTATATACACTCTCCGCGACACAGCCACTCGCTGGATTAATAGGATAAGAAGGCCGCAGTCACAACTGGAAGACCGCAGAGAGGACTGCGTGTTAATTCGCAGCGCATGGCCACCATAGTGGAACCGACGGGGTCCCATACCACCCGAACAGTGACATTAGCACACCCTCATAGCCTCTCACTGGATTAACACAATAAAGAGAGTGCAAGCAGAGCTCGAAGCACGCGCAGGGAAGTGCGTGTGAACTGATAACTGATGTAGCCAAGGGTGGCGTATAAGCACTCCCCCGAGGCACAGTCACTAGCTGGAATTAAATAGTAAGGAAGGCGCAAACACTTGATGTGTATAAAGCTAACGCAATCGCACCTGCCAAAATTATTTTAGTTAGCTAACCGTATGATATTGGTCAAATGGGGTTGTAGGACCAAACCTCGCCCTTTTTTATTTGCCTATACCTAGTGTACACTGGTGTAAATTATGGCTGTGCGACCGCCTGCGTGGACACATGGCAGAGAAAACGCAATAAACCCGTTTCGTAGTGTGACTAGATAGGTAGAACACAAATCCCATAGGCGTGTGTAAAGTCATCTGAATGTGTGGCATGGCGACCTCAGAACTAAGTGTGGAGCAACAGTGCGCCATCGGACAGGTGTGTGTGTGTGAAGCCTAGTTCGTGATCGTCAAGGTACACACGTTTGTGCGTGCGGCGCTCGAGAGACCGGCCGGACGCCAGGTCAGTCACTGCGTCCAATTTTCGGTTCTGACATGCGGCCTCGAGAATGGGACAGATAATGAGTCTCCCCCACTCTAATTCCACTTAGACATCATTCGCAATTACCTAGTTGGCGTCATTCTTTGTCGTCCATGACAGACAAGGTTTTGAATGCTGTGTTCTTGATGCCAGACACCTACCTATGATGGAGCTAATTGAAAAGGGCGCGGATGGGTCAGACAACGATTTTGACGTAGTCTTGTCATTGAAAGGGCATTCCTGAACTTAAAGGTCCTCGCCGATCGGCCAATCCCTCCCACAAGCGTGCAACTTGGGTTTTTTCAATTTGTTTGGGCATTTCATTACCCAAAGAAGGAGTGGACGCGATAAAAGCCCTTAAAGAAGTTAATGTTTGACCTCTTCAGTTAGGAGTAGATTGGAGAACGGTCTGTAATTAATGCACTGCATAATTGTTTCAAACCTGAGCATGAAACTTTATGACAGGGAATTGTGCCCACCTCAGGGACTGGGAGATAATTGGACAATTCTGTTTGGGCTAAAGGGCCCCATGTAACAAATTGATAAGTACCGGTAGGTTAGTGATCTACTTTGAAAAATCATGTTTACGATGAATTAAGAATAAACTTGAGACAGCGGAGGCAGTGACCATCGACTAACGAGTTCAGCCTTGTGCTCGCAGAAGGCCGTCATTAAAGCTGAATCATGGAAGTTCAGACCCGCGCCATTACACGTCGCGCCACAGCGACGAAACATAAGCACAACCCAGTCAGACTTTTTCCCCTCCCCCTGTCCCCCTTCCTGTACCACTGACAGAAACCAGACTATAATTATCTCGCTGCCCCACAAGTCTGAACACATTTACCCCGAGTTATGACTGCTGTTCATCAGTTGTTTTATTTCTCGAATTTCGCTGCTCTACCTAGACTTATGTTAATGTATTGGCTTGATGAAAAATATTCAAAAACGTACGTTCGCCGACTTGAACTTCCTCAATGTGTAAATGGGAATCATCACAGAATTTACAAATAAACTGTTGACCTTAAATTGATGGATAATCCTACCGCAGGAGAGTATAGGGGAGAAAAATATTCGGCCGGTGAAGCATTGTGTACACTTGTATGACTATTCAAATTATGCCCGGGGCCGTTATAAGAAACAGCAAGAAATAAGCTAAAAGAGGTGCAGAGGGTGGTTTGGCTGGAACCGCATACCTGAGGTTTGGAAAGACCTATCGCCGCCAGCGGTCATCATACCCTCATTTAAGATGTCAGTTAGTTGCGTTTGCCAATACCCGACGTGCCGCCCATCCGTCCTCTCTAAGCACAGTTACCTTCCCCTGCGGGATCTTGGAGTGTGGTGAGCTAACACGAGACCACCGCCCGGACTGAACGACTTTGCTTCGAAAAAATACGACCGGAGGTGATTAACCTGTTTCGCGGGTCCAATCGTCTTGTTCTATCCGGGTTACCTGTCAGTTTAGCCCAGTCTAGATTGGCGTCCATAGAGGGTGATTGGCGTTGATCGTCGATGGGAGTGACTGTAGACATGTTCATTTCTGATTTTTCGTGCATAGTATACGCTCAAACACGCGGAATTCAACAGTCAATATTAAAATAGACTCGTCAAAGACTGGACGTTTATTGAAAAAGGATCTGAAGAGGGGAACGAATCACAGGTTGCTCGGTGGAGTGGGGGAGACAACAGAGGAGAAAAACCTGATTTAGCACTGAAGCCTTTCTCCAGTCTATCCTTCCTCACCTGGTCGATATGTCGGCACGCGTAATTCTTCAGTTAGGGCGTCTGGTTCGTGCTCCCTCACTCTCGTCTCAGCGGAACCGGAATGTTGCGCAGGGAGACGTTATCAAGAAAATTAAAACGCCTAATTAAAAGTGCTTGCCCCTTACAATCTTTCCTCAGTTGGTGCTTACGAAGTCTTTAGTTTTCTTATCAGACTGCAGAAAAGGCCAACTGTTCCGCTGACCCAGAAATTCTCGCGCTTGAAAAGCCATTTCGCAGCAAGAAAGTACTAGACTTGCGTTTTTTTAAAAATACTGACTGACAAGCCTACTTCTCTTGCTGCGGAAACTAAAAACCTACTTCAGAGCTGATTTGCATAAGTTTATGATCTGATTAATGGATAACAACCCAATCTAGGGTTATTTACCTTCTTGGTAGAGGAGTGGTTTCGTATGGAGTTTTTCTTCTACGAGCGGTTAATCAAATGGAAATAACCCAGCTAGTTGTGTCCTTGAACTTATTTCAAAGAGTCTTGCAAACTTGGCAGCTGTATTTCACCTAAAGACGGTTATTCTGCTTCTCTTTCCTCTCCAACGTACATCTGCATGTGTCTATATGTAGGCTTGTCTCTTCACTATTTGCCAATCTGTATGACATTTCATATTTTCCCCCTCTCCCTCGCACCACAGATTTTCACTGCAACCATTCCACAAGAAACACCATGCTTACGGTGGTAACGTCCAAATGAGTGGGGAAGTGGCCTCCATCGGCGGAGACGCAGGAAGCGTAACCAACGCCACTTGGGGTGATCACGTCCCCCTAGAACGTTCCGTCACCTCCGTTGGCGGTGGTGGCGGCAGCAGCAAAACTACCAGCAGCGGCGGCGGCAAGACCTTCTCCACTTTCGCTATGCGAAGCCACACTAGCGGCAGCAACAGCGCCTATCCCAGCATGGTGCTGGATGAAGAGACCTCCAGGGTCTCAGAGGAGTCGCTCAATAGCCTCGAAGAGCAGTCCAACAACGCTAGCAGTCCTCCTGTCAAGGGACACCAGCATCACTTTGGCCGCCCGACCGGTGGCTGTCGGTCGGGCAGATCGGGCCTCCTTGACTAGGACTACTCCTCATCGCGGGGTTACGGGAGCGTTTGGCTGTCGTCCACCCCTCCCTCCGCAGGCCAAAGATCAGACCCCTTCTAATGCGCACTACGCCCAACTGGCTGCCATGCTCTGCTCTAGCGTATGGCTCGCATCAAATCCTGTTCCGTGCGGCTGTCTAGTTCGTCGCCCGGTTTGCAATTATGACAGCTCCTTCTTTCAAATCCCCCCGCTTTGCACTGCAATACCGTCGCGCCTGTCGTCCCTACTTCGCTTGTTAAATGTACAAATGACCCCCCCTCCTCTTCCCGCTTTTCTTGCCTCTCAGTCCCTACTGCCTGTCGCCCCTTTTGTTTGTTAGCTTCCTCTCCTCGCCGTGGTGTGCGTCCGCCTGCTGGCGCGGCGTTCACGTCACCGCTACGTGTTGGCCTGTTTTGCAGACTCCACTGTCTGAAGATTCTGGAAGTGTCTCCACTCTCGTTTGTCATTTTTTTCTGTCGTTGAGGTTGTGGACTTCATTTACTCGCCGTTATTGAGGGAGAAACATTAAGTTTTCGTTTTCAAACGTTAATACCCCGCAGCAAGAAATGAGCTGAGCCGGCGCGAATCCCATGTACCTAGGGCTCTGATGTGTGCTGCGCAGTCTGTTGATGCGTCAGGGACATTTTAAGGTTTCCCTTCCGTGTTGGGTGAGATGGCGGTCCCCATCATCATCATCATCATCATCATCATCATCATCATCATCATCATCATCATCATCATCATCATCATCATCATCATCATCATCATCATCATCATCATCATCATCATCATCATCATCATCATCATCATCATCATCATCATCATCATCATCATCATCATCGTCGTCGTCGTCGTCGTCGTCGTCGTCGTCGTAACAGTGGTAGTGGGTCACCCGAACAAGCACTACACACCTCTGTCCAAATACTAGGTGGTTCACCATACAGACAGCGTAGGTACCAGCTAAAGGCCCAGGCAGGCGTGCTTCGCCAATTCTGTGCCGTTGCACGACGTAGCTGCGAGGGTTTCGACACACTGGTGGGTCCCCGACGTTCTCCATATACTTTCTGGTATGTAAACTCCGGGTCCATGCTGTCTTATTTACTTTTGTGGGAATTAATGCGCGGACTTAGAGTAAATCTTTCGGAACAATGCTTTTGGGGCTCGGTTTAAAAGTTGAAATGTGAATAGTTGAGCGGAAATCCATCAGCTACTTCGAAATAACCGCGTGATATTCACAAGCTGTCAGCAGACAGTCGTACAAAAGTGCTGGATGGTTTTCCATGCTGACAGCCCACTTGTGAGCCAAACCCCTCGAAACTGAATCGTTCAGCAACATAAGATCGGTGGAACGCGCGTGTCTGGGCTTTTGGCTCGTGCCTGTACTGTCAGTATGGTGGACCACCTAGTATTTGTATACTACTGCCTGCCTGGTGGCAGCTTGTGAGTATTACGCGGTTATTCAGCAGCAGCTGGTGAATTTCACCTCAGGTATTTATATATAACTTTCCCAATCGAGTCCAAAAAAACTTGTTCTGGAGGATCTACTCTAAGTTCGTGCATCATTTTCCCCGGAAATTAAACAAGGCAACACCTCTATCCATCTACTACCGCCACCACCAATGGCCCTTCGGCCTCTTCTTACTCACTGTCCTTATTTGAATGTACTTAAGCTTGCTTAGCATCAGTCGAAAACGTAAGCTCGTCCACATAGACCGGTGAACCATTTCATACCCAGAATTGGCACCACTCCGTCGTGCCGGATTGCAAGCCCTTTTCCTAGTACCTGCAAAGGCTTGCTGGTGCATTACATTTATACCACATCCGCCGGAGTCTATCTTCCATTTGTCGCCACTCCTCCGATCATACCTTCAAACATGCTTAGCCTCGCTGTTTTTAGTTGGAATCCTTGAGGCAATAGGGTAGAGAGAGTTTCTCCAGCGTTTTCTGGCCTTTTTAATAGGAAATATACACATCTGAGAAGTAATCAAGTCGCGATTTGTTCGTTTTCGTAATTTACCATCTAACTAATCTTGCAGTATCCTCATTTTTGCCGCAATCCTGATCGTGCTTTCGCTGGACTGTGCTGATCCAACTTTATATTGTCCGGTCTACTGAAAATGTTTTTCAGTAAAGTCACTTGATACCCGAGTAAAGGTGCTTGCTCAGCCTCTCATCCATATCACTCATCCTTCATCCATTCTCTGTCGTTCGCTTGGCCACCGAAAATCAAGTTTACTTTGACGATGCAGCGCAAAACCATGATTTTTGACTAAGCCGACTCACTTTATATGCACTTTGCTTCCCGTACTGGGGGCTGATAATTGCGTACGTAGAGCTCGCATAAAGAGCGTTGCCTATCCAATGGCCGGTTCGTTAATTCACTTTTGTCCATGTATTTGCATTTGGTTTCCTGAGTAATTATACGCAGATTTTCACCTCCTGTGTCGTCATTTCCGAATGAATGTACCCACCGTAAATGTGTCTTATAGTATACATCGCCTAGCCAGTGTTACATTTATGTGACATGTGCAATACAATCACTGAATCGAACACAGTCTATGATTTACCGCCTTTCCACTGACAACTTTTAGCAAGCACACGCGATCCCATTTTTTAGAAAACACTGGCTACCCAAACATGAGGGATTTTTTTCGGAGCTCATGTCAAGCCACCTCTTTTCTGTGGAAAGCGCATGCTGCCATAGACCAGTTAAATTATGAGCAGAGCAAAAGGCCATATTTTACAACATTCCGAAATTTGTGTAGTTTTGAAAGGAACCGTTCTCCCAGAGTTGCCAGAGGTTCCTTCGAAATCATTATTTAGTTTAATTTACTCTGTGGCAGAGGAGCACCTGGCACATGTATACGCGCCTGGAAAAAGTGGGCACGCCCTCGAAGAGGAAATAAATAACTCGAGAATGTTAAACCAGACTTAGTTCCGATTAAACATCCAAGGCTCCAAACGCAGCGAGCCTTCTAAAAGATGAACATTTCCTACTTATAAGCAGGGAACAGTGCCTTTAAATTGTTTTCTATAACTTTCCTTTCCCCAATTCACAACATCTGCAGGATAGAACGCCGGTAAAGACAAGACCAAGTCGGCTATTTCTGGCTTACTGGCTGCCATAAGTAGGGCATACCCGACCCCAAGTCTTAATGACCTGCGATTCGAACCCAGATTATTGAGTCGCTGAGCGTTTGTAAGTCCAGCGCTCTGATAGTGAACCCCAAACCCATTGCCCCGTTGGTTGGAGTCGGGAATATTAACTAGCATGGAAACGCGTTTGTCGCGATGATTTAAGCCATAGGTGGCCGCTGGCCACTACGACCTTCATGCCCAGTCCCGCATGGAAAGAGAAGTCGGATTCCAGGAGAGAGAGAGAGAGAGAAATCACTGTATTCTGTATAGGATAAATACGTCAGAATGAGGCGGCAACCCGACGAGGGCACAGTCTGGAGGCTCGGGACAGGCGTTGGGGTGACTCCGGGACAGGCGTCAGAACCCTTTACGCGCGAGGGACACAGTGCTGCATCAGACGCCTGGAATATGCCCACTAGACGTTCACCATTCAGGTCGCTGGACGTGCTTGCCCCACTGCGTCTTAGAGCTCAACTTAGGGCCCTCGTGAGCAGTCACAAAGGGACAAGTGGATGTGGGATTGAGTACTGAGAAGGACAATGGTAAAACGTTGAAGGTGAGCGCCCTGCGTGACCAAAAGAACCCTAGTCTGAATCCCAGATCGTCTGGACCTGGCGTAGGGAATGGCTGGCGCTAATAAGCCAGAACTGGCCATTCCAGTCTTCCTTGCCTTTGTCAGTACTCCATCTTGCGAAGGGTCTAGATTGAATAGCAATGCGCAACTGGACAAGCGCGTCGTGTAGCCTAAGTACCTTTCCCTCACAAAGTTCATAATGTATCGAAAATCATAATGGAGTTTCAGCTGACAACTCGTGAAATGATTGTGATGAGGCTCTTGACATGCATTCAAGGTTTTATCTTTTCCTAAGCGGTAGTTCCTGATACTTACGGCTGATTTCAGCTGGCAAGTAGTCCAACAAAACTCACCCTGTATATCAGTCAAACATAACGCAGCCTTGAGGTCTTAATAAAAAGATTATTCCTAGTTGTGGGCTATAGGACACAGGGAAACGCATACAGCTAGAAAGCGTGTAGCCAGGCTAATTCGGACCATCCCAGACCCTCCAGCGGTGAACTATGGGTAACTCGATGCTCGACTCTGTTGTTGTTAGATTCCCCTGTTTCCGACCTGGAGAGCAAGCACAAGGCTCCCCCTGACTCACGTTCCCGCAGGGCCTGTGAGGCAAACCTCCCAGACGCAGGAGGTAGACAATTGCAAGAGGCAGGCCTGACGTGATCCGCATTGATTATTCGCACAGATGAGTGACACGCCGTTCACAACTCGCTGATAGTGCCTTCGGCACGATATTGGAAGGTCGGCGATTGCCTGCGTCCGGCCACATTCACCTTGTTTTTCCTTGTGAAACTCTTCACCTCCCATTGCCTCTCATAGTAATTTTTGAACTACCAGACAAATTTAAAATTATTTTTAGACTTAGCCTTGACAGTATATGCATACGGTCTTACTCCATCCATCTTCGCGTTCAGCCATGTATTATCTAATCACCTATTGAGGTAACAGGTTCAAACCATGCTCAAAGTCAACGGAAATTTCGATCTGGTTTTCATCGATAGAGCGTCTCAAAGTGAAATGGTTGGGACAGCAAACTCTAGCCAGTTTTACCTAACCGTAAATTTCTTCATGAATAAAAAGATTGCATTGTAAAAAGTAATTTTGTAGGATCTTACTGCGAACGGCATGCTCAACTTTGTCCCTGTGTAGCAGACTAGGAATTCAACTCTTGGAACGCACATGAAATCTGCTCCTGCTGGTTGGGGAACCGATCAGCTACATGATATACCTCAACATTTTGGCAAAGTTACGAATAACCCCGACACCCGCCTGATAGGTAATTTGCGTTGCGTTTGCAGAACAAACCATAGCCACCTTTACGTCACATTTTATTTTGGGGAAAACGCCTCGAAAACCGTAGATTTCCTGTACGCTGTCCAGCAACCTGACAGGAACAACTTTGATTCGACTGTCTACCCACGTTTAAGTAACAACCTTCAGCAGAAACATTGAAAAAGTAAGGAGGCAAGCTCCTCAGATTTGGAGAAAAACGAAGTGCTTGTCAGAAAAGGAACCCACTCTTCTTCAAAACATTATACAGCTTTCTGTTGTGATTTTTCAACAACTAGAGGTTTTTGAAAAATGATTTAATTTATGCACCCAAAGGTAGGCCAAAATACATGCCATATACGATGGCTCCTGCATTTGCCGTGGGTGTCGGGGATTTTCCTTTGGCAAGGTTCGACATCAACCAAGGCATTCTTGCTAACCCCATCTACCCAGCAGGATCGAGCAACTACCCGGGGTCTGCCTATACCAAAGCATTTAGACCTAGTAAACTCATTTTGCATCAGGTGGGAAGACTCAAAGCGACCTACCAAACTGCGCACAACGTAGAAGTGACCCTGCACCATCACCGGCCTCACAAATGATTAGCACGACCTTTGGAATCGAATTTATGAGGCCATGAGTCTCGAACAAATCAGTCACAACTAAGCCCCTCAGAACTGCAAGAAAGAGACCTACTGCCAGTGATCCAGATTGGACTATTATCCGGAACGTATCAAGTTTACCTGCCCTGGTGAATTGCACGGAAGACTGCAGAACCACACTGTTAGCACTGTAATTAGAACTTCTGAACACCAATTCTAGCCGGGTGTATTTTTATCTTCCATAGAAGAGTTGAGGTTGCGCTAACAGTTAAAATATGCCTTTCCTCCATTAATTCTACCCATGTAGTAGCTTTAGCAAGCACATCATCACAGGCTGACGATAGCAAAAAACCTAGCCTATTGACAGAACGATTTACTGCGCAGATGTGTCCGTCCTGGGGGCACAGTGGCATAGCTAGACCAAACAATAGTCTGAATGCTGCAAAATGCTCACTAATGTCAACTAGCTATATG